ATACATACATACATACATACATACATACATACATACATACATACATACATACATACATACATACATACATACATACATACACACATACATACATACACACACATACACATACACATACACATACACACACACATACATACATACATACATACCATACATACATACATACACACACATACATACATACATACATACATCTATCTACATACTATACACATAAGTTGAGTGTGTGATATGTGCATTCACACTGAGAACATGTTGATTAGATGCCCATTTTCCAACTAGCAACCGCACCCCCAAGTCACATCGAACATCTCAATGATCTAAGGGATCAACCTCACTATCAACCTGTAGGAAGAAGATTATCATCCAAATCACAGCACTGTTCATGAGACAATCGTCTCACCTTGCCTAGCCTGCGGTGCCTTCGATGTGGCCCCCGACCTAACGGGGGCAAAGCCGCCATTCAGCAGCGGTTTTGGGCGGCAAGTGAGCAACCGGGATAGGGTGGTTGAAAAAGGGGGGCAACTGTATTTGATGAGCCTAAAGGCCACGCGCAGCCCTTTTTCCATGCCAAGACGCCATCCCAACCTCAGGTTTTGGAGAACAACTTGTTTATCCACAGAAAATGCCGATTTCATTGAATTGCAAGGTAGGCCTTGCGACCATGGCTAGGTGGCTTATGGGCCTGGGCTGGGCTTCTCTGGGTAGCTCAAGGACCAGCGCCAATTTCAGATTCAATTCCTTGGGCAACCACCATTTGGTTCATTCTTTGGATTCTTGAGGGTTTGGTGTGGCAGTTGAGCACCACCTTTATTTTTAATCTTAAACACTGCCCTGACATAGAGATGGATCGTGAGACAACACGACAATGATGCAGACAACATTTCAATTCTGGGGATGCATGCACATGCTCAAGCATGGTTTTCAATCAGTTGCACATCATCTCTATGGTTTGACCGGTCTAAATATGATAGGTGAGATTGTTTCCAACTTGCTGATTTGGTTTCAAACTGGCAGAATTCATTGGGTCGGTTAGGGTTCATGTATGTCGAGTCTGAGGCCATGCCGAAGAGAAGAGCTTCAGATGAGAATCTTGGGCAAGATAGGTACCACACCTGGCTAGGGTTGATGGATGGTACGGTGAGTAGTCCCGACCATGGTGGAGTGTGAAGACTGGTTAGTTCTTTGCCCAGACCACATTGGCTGTTTTAGGAACATCCTCGGGATCTTCGCTGATGGGGAGCGCTCTGGAAGGAAGCCCCGGCAGGAGAAGTCCAGTGGCGACCTGACCAAAGGAATCAGCTTCGTGCGGGGACAGACTTTGCAGCCCACATCGGTGCCCGTGCCCCGGCAATCATGTCGAAGCAAGGCCTTTTGTAGAGCCCAAGTCCCCAAGCAGATGGCCTTCATTTCCTTTTTTCTTTCGCAATTTCTTCGCGACCTCGTGGGGACTGATTCTCTTTGCACACTAAGTGAGGCACCGCCGAAGGAGGAGAAGAACAAGGAGCAGGATGAAGACTCAGATGTGGATAGTCGCTTTGTACTCGACGCCAGCCTTCTCAGTGCCAACTTCACGCCGGCCGTGGAGGGCCCTAAGCTGCCAGCGCGGAACAAGCTCTCCTTCCATCAGATGTCCAGCAACTATGGTAAGGGCTTTGCCATGTTGCAGAAGATGGGTTTCACAGGTGGAGGCCTTGGACGGCACAACGACGGCATTGCCAACCCCATCGAGGTGCAGAAGCGGCAAACGAAGATGGGATTGCAAGACGATGGAGAAATGGTGGATCAGGACCTGGATTCGGCTAAAAGTTATTGCTTGGATAGTGGATAAAAGTGGACATGCCGGTATGATGCGGTGCCCTCCCTCAGATTTGCATGGAATCTGTCAGAGAGGTTACTTTTTCTGAGCCATAGCTCCAGGTTCTATCTCAGGGCACCTTTTTCATGTTTTTTTTTGTATTTTCTTTTCGATCAGTTTCAACCTCAGTGAGGACCTCTATGGCAACGAAGGTGGCCGCCGCACCATCGAGGAGTTGCTTGGAACCATCAGCAAGCCCAAGCAGAGTGACGAGCCGAAGATCAGTGATGGATGGAAGCGTGATGGGAAATCCAAACGCCCCAAAACCATCTACAAGAAGGCAGAAGAGGCTGGAGAAGGGTCGATAGACGGAAGAGGGTTGGCATCATTCTTTTACTTGGCTGTTGCGGCACGATTTCGTCGGCTGGTTGGTCTAGAGGTAAGCATGTGAGATTGCTTTCCGATTGCTTTCCTTCAGTCACGCGTTTCTACCTGACCTTTTTCTGCTGAGAGATCGACAATATACTTGCGCAAATTTCCCAAACTGTTTTTGACCTTCCCAGATGAAGGCCACGACATGCTTCTGAAAGCTGCTCACTGAAAACTACATGTGCGTTTGAGTCAGAATTCGTTTCCTTCATCATCACCTTCCTCCCATTCTTCCGGCCTCCAGGCGTCGGGGGAGGTGCCGGCCATGCGCATCGTCGACATGCGAGGCCCCGAGGTGAAGGTGGCCTCCTCCTTTGCGGAGTTGGCCGCCAACCTCGCGGGGGACAGCGTGAGACACTCGGTGAACAGGTGAGGTGACCGCACAAAGATAAAGATAAAGCATGTGTGCAGACTGGAAGATAAAGCATGTGGACAGCAGACGAGAACACGGCACATGAACGCAGCTAATTTGATAAAGCTCTCGCTAGCAGGCGGAGTGCTGTGGATAGAATGTATTCTTTCCAGGTCGTTGAAATTACAGGCCTTTTGGGCGGTTTGGGTGATTGCTAGCAGGTAGAGGAGCGAGCCGTTTCTTTTTCAAGTTGCTTTTCATCTTGCAAGTTTGGCTGAACTTCACTTTTCCACCGCACAGTGAGAGTTTCAACATACCCCAAAGACTTATATACCCAAGACTGTGGTCCCTTTGATCAACAGTCATAAAATGTTTGGGTCGAAGACCATCGCATCAGGAAGCTTGAAGGAGTTCCGGCACAACACTCGCCTGCTGGTGTCGCGCTACGAGGACAAGGTGAGGGCTGCTGCAGAGCGGAAGCGCCATTGTGAGAACATCATTCTCGCTGCGGCCAAAGAACAAGAACGTCTTCAAGCAGCGGACAACATCAGTGAACTCACTTGTCCATTGAACAACACCTTTTCTTGTTCTATCATTTGACAGTTTTTGAAGTTTAGAACCCTGATGAACCCTGCATGTGTAAAATACATGTGTTTTCACCATGGTTAAAACATGTAAGAGCTTCCCTCAGCAAGTGTGCAAAAACGTCCCTTTCGTGAACAGAGATTTTGACAGTTGACATGCTTTGTGTGGACTCGCGCTTGGCGAGGTGAATCTGATGTGAAAGGCTGTAAAGAGTTGGTCTTGGAGATTGAGTCCTTGCGCGAGCAGCAAGATGAAGCCAGCATCACACTGAGCGAACTGGCGGACTCATTCAAGCGCCTGGAACGCACGCGGCCCAAAGAATTCCATTTGCTCTCGGCCATGGATGTGGCCTTTGCTTTAGCTCTGCCGACTGCCAAAAGGGAGTTGTCTACGTGGCAACCCTTCAAAGCTCCAGAGGAAACACATTGGAGGGATTTGAAAAGAGTGGCTGAAACACAGTGACGGTTAGGTGAATCAGTGTGCTTTACCCAAACCCGATTGAGCCTACTGTACCTCAGCCTCATTCTTTGGTGATAGGTGAATCAGACAACTTGACAAACTTGACACCTCCACCCTGTCCAGGATGGTCTCAAAGCCATTTCCAAGTGGCAACAGCTGGGAGATAAGGAGCGCTTCAGCGCTCTGCTGGATGCCTCGTTGATTCCACAGCTTCGGAAGGCCTTGGTGGCCTGGTCTCCCCGCGACTTTGAGCCTTGCATTGCTCTCATGGAGACTTGCAAGAAGGCCGGTCCTCCCGGTTCTCGCCTCTCATTTGTACCCGGGGCTGAGGTATTCTGACAAAGGACTTATGTACAAAACTATGTTGGTCAGACTTGTTAAGAGGTTAATCTGGGATGGACAGCTGAGTGAGATTGTGGGAAACCACTGCAATCGGGGGGATTTCTATGTTGGGGGGGGGTGTCTCCAGAAACCCAGTGAGTTTGCTCACTAGCCCATCTTAGCTTGTTTGGCACCAGCTCCGTGGCTCGCTGAGTCCCGCAAGGCCCTCCATCTGGACGTGGCAGAGGCGCTCATCGCGGAGGTGGTCCTGCCACGGCTGCGCTCCGAGCTGGAAGTGTGGGACCCACGGATTGACAAGGTCTCAGCACATTTGTGGCTGCAGCTGAGCTGAGAACTAGCTGAAAGAAAAAAACACAACTGGTGGAACTAGGGCGCTTAGTACGTTGGAGGCCATCGATAGTAGGGTGGAGGCCATCGATAGTAGGGTGGAGGACCAGCCTTCCCAGCCAAAATGGTTGGTCCAATTTGGATCCCAGGGCAAGAGATGGTGTCAAGGTGTCATGTGTATGTTGGAGAGAAATCACTTCCACGGTATTTGGCACCAAGTTGCCTCCATTGCAGCAGTTCATGTTGTCAAACTGTAGTTCGGGAGCTAAGCACCTCACATGGCCAGTGTGTGACGACTTGGAACAGTGAGAGGACCGAGACTCAGGCCGAAGCGCTCGGCCCCGTTCCGAGGCATCCCTGGTTGCCCGTGCTGGGGCGGAAGATGGAGATGCTTTGGACGCCGATCAGGCCGGGAACCCGCGTGCTCCCCGAAGCTCCGAAGCTCCGAAGGAAGGGAGACGTGGGAACATGCGGCGCCTGGCCCTGTGATGATTTGATGAAAGATCATTCTTAGGAAGTGATGAGTCTATTGAGGAGTTTAACATGTGGCCCCAGTGGTTGTTCATTACCAAATGATCCCGCCTTGTGCCTCCACATAGTCACAGCTCCAGCGAGTGTGCCACCAGCTGCGGGGGGGGTCTCGACCACCCATTTTTGCTTTAGATGGATACATGCGGCCGCCCCAAGTTCAAGCGAAAAGCCTCTAAAGCAGGCAGATGCTGCAGAAGCCAACCTACAAGGCCACACGCACACACACACACACCGTACCACACCGTACCAGTGCTGTCGTGCAGGTTCAAGATCTCCGGCTGCCTGGAGCGGTGGGACTCCAACGATCCATCGGCTTCTTGTTCCTAGTAGCTACTTGTTCGTAGTAGTAAGGCCAGGAGCCCCTAGTATCGTCCTTTGTTCCTAGTAGCGATGCCAGGAGCCCCTAGTAGCGTCCTTTGCTCCTAGGCCCATGGGCTCCTGAAGCCTTGGCAGCAAGTCTTTGATGCGTCGAACTGGGAGCCCCTCCTGGAGAAGGTGGGCCTGGAGAAGGGGGTTTGAATCAGGAGTTGATTTTAGTGTGAAAGTCTGGGAGTTCTTTGATACAATGGATGTAAATAGAGCTCACTAACATGACGACATTTCTTTTGACCAAACCCTGATTTCGGGTCATAGCCAGTTCACGGACGTCATAGACGGAGCTGCGTCCTTGGACCGCAATGCTCGAGGTATCCCATCCCGTGATTTTTGGCCATCCCTCCTTCACTCAGCCAGGTCTTGTCCAGGCTAGAGAAGGCACTGCTTGATACGCCCATCAAGCCTGATGGCCAGGACCAACATCGGGAGCTTGTCGTGAGTTGTTGAAATGAATGTTTCGTCCATCAATGAAGCTTGGGTTCATGGCTGCCACTGGGGCTTGAGGGTCCAACCACTTGAAGGCCAGTAAAGGCCTCTCCAGTGACATATTCTGCATCACGTCGCTCTAGTAGAAATGGAGTCTGAACGATTTGCTTGAACAATCTTGAATATATATATATATATATATATATAATATAAATATACAGATGTTTTTTGCCTCCCAAAGGGACCAAGAGAGGCCAGAGCTGGCGAACAAAGACGGTGCTTTGATGGACCATGGAACAAACTGAGAAAGCATTCGGTGCATGGCGTTGGGCGGTACATGGGTACATGGCAGTACACGAGGCCCACCGAAAGCATGAAGTTTGTCTATGTAGTGTCTTTCTTTTTTACCAGCAAATTTGCTGCCTTTCTACCCACACTGGTGTGCTTGGAGTCGCCCACAGGGGCACCTGAGGACCTGAAAGCACTGAAGAGTCTCTTCACCTGGTTGGACTTGGCTCCTCTGGAGAACGTGGCACGTGTCCTTGAGACGGCCTTTTTCCCACAGTGGCACAGCGCGCTGAAGCAGTGGCTGAGGACCAAAGGATGCAACTTCTCTGAAGTCTTGCAGTGGTACCAGGAACGGGTTGCGAAACTTGAGGGTTGGAAGTTGGAAGAGCTTGCCGTCTTTTGAAGATCCAACGAAGTGTTTTCTCTCGCCACGCGCGTCGTCACTTGAGGGGGCAGCTTCCGATTGCCTCGCGCGTGGCGTTCCCCAGCACTGTGCTTGCGTGATCAAAGACCAAGTTGGAGCCAGACAGGATAGAATGACCTCCAAACTTCACTGATTGTACTAGTTTGGGAGGAACCTACATTAACACAAAGAAACCGCAAGAGTGCAACATCGTCGATTGACGATCCCTGTCGAGGGCTGGAAGGCGCTGTTTCCCCCCCGAGCTGAGAGAACAGTTGGTGGTCCAGCGGCACTTGGCTCATGGCCTTGAAGAACCTTGGCATCAAAAGGTGTGTCCTCCACTTCAGTCAGGTCGGCATTTACAGAGTTACGCAAGGAGAACCTTGAGAGCAAAAAACCACATCCCTAGAAAAAGAAGATAAAGAACATCCTTTTGTTGACTCGATAGTTTCTCTAAGAAGCATGGTTGCTTTATACTTGGACCAATTCCATTGAAAGTCATGTTCCACCAAGAAACACAGCATCAATAGAATTCTCACCAAGTCTAAACATTTTGGTGATCATGATTCAACGCTACTTGGACAGAATCGACTGGAGAACAGGTGGAAGAAGCTGGGCAACCCACCGGGACGGACAAGGTCAATAGACATTTCTGGAAACTCATCAAAACCATCAAGTTTTGCTCCAAGAAGTTCCTGGTTTCTCATCCTTTTTTCGGTTGGCTCATCAGCTGAGTCCAGCTCCAGGTCATGAAACACATGATGGCCAACGGCAGCGATCTGGACGAGGAACCTGCCGCCCCCCAGCGGCCGAGCCACGCGAACCTGCCACCGACGTCCGCGAGGAACCTGCCGGTGGAAGAAGTGAGCTTGAGCTTGAGCGATTACATCACACAGGTGGCCGCAGAAGAGGGGCTGATCTTCCTCCCAAAGCCGCTTGGATGGCCTGATCTTTCATTTTTCCAAGAGTTGGTCCAAAATGGTTTGAAGGGAGAGAAGGCCAGAACGTATGGTCATGGGCCAAACCGATTTAGTCCTAGTGAACACCCCAAAATAAAGAAAGGACTCTACTGACCAAAGTGGTTTTCAGTTGACCCACACCCAGATATCGCAGATGAAGCTCTGGGTTGGAAGTTGCCGAGGAAGCAGCAGCGGAATGGGAAGCAGGTGTATCAACTTGGAGCTGCCACCATCCAGCTGGAGAAGAACCTTATTTACGTTGCGCCGAAGGGAGAAGGTGAATGGAAGGACGGCTGTGGTTTCATGAGTTTGATTCATTGTGTCGTTGAGGGTTTGATGTGTAATTTGTTTCAAGCATGGGGTTCCTGGTCTGTTCAAGTTGTGGGCTTCCAACTTCATGTCTTTCTTTCTGCTTGACATCTGATGTCCATTAGCGCAGCGCGGTTAGAGTGGGGAGCATTCAAAAGGGCCAGGGCGAGGGCCAGGACTACTACTAGATGAGGCCTTTGGGTTCCGTTGGTGCACATGTCCATGTCCATCTTCATCACATCGCGTGTATGGTTCCAGGCCGCGTCGATGGATGAATTGCTGAAGCTGGCGAAGGTCACAAAGAAATGAAGCACCAGCCCGTCACCCAGCTGTGGATTGCAGTGTTCCCAGAAGATGACATGGCCAAGGATGGACAGAGTAGGCATGATAGTCCGGTTTGATTTGAATCTTCAATACATTATTGTTACCTTGGATCATGAATTTGTTGCGAGGCTCCGACCCTGTGTCCAACGAACGGGGGAGCAACACATGTCGCTGCACTTTAAATGCGCCATGCGCTCGATGTCGGTCTTTCTCACCGCACCTAGGTGGCAGGTCTGATGCTTCGTCCAGGTTGGCGGGCAGGTCCCGTCCGTGCAGCCCTGTAGACCTGTCCGCCGTGTGCCGCTGTGTCTGTCCTCAGAAAAGGGGGCGGCCGAAGTCCTGGAACTGGGACCAAGCTTCATCGCTTTTCGCTTTCTTAACAGGGTAGGGAGATTACACATTAAAAAAAAAAAAAATATATATACATGACCATGGGCGTAAATCAGGTCAGATGGTCAGAGATCAAAGGTTATCTGTGGGCCTGAAAGGAGATGATGAGATGAATCCTCCAGAAGAGGATCCACAAATGCGTGCATTTCACAAACGCGTGGCCTTCTTGGGCAATTCTCGGGAGACGATGCGCACGAAGGATGCGAGTGAACAACTGGGAGAGGCTCCACAGACCTATCTGTCATGTCTTACAGGGCTAGGGCTCCACACGGTCGCACAGACCTATCTGACACTGAACCAGAAAGAACATGTGGCCAACTGGCACAATGAAACTTGTGGTTGGTCAAGTCTAAGGGGCAGTGGTATTACTAACTCTCCAAGGCATTGATCTGGCAGATCCTAGCATATATGGCCAAAGACCAAGGAACGAGAGAGGCTGCATCATGCTTGGGCTTTGACCCCAACAACAGAAATCATTGAATATGAAACGCTTCAATATACCTTGGAATCCTTGTCATGCATAGAGGACAAGCTCGTTGCTATTTGAGGGTATTGCGGTATTGCCTAAACAGAAATGATAGACCACCTTCTGCCTCCTTGGGGAGCGCAAAGTCCTTTACGCGGTTGAACCTTTGGAGCTCTTTATGCACTTGAGCTTGCAGCATTTCAGAGACAAGCTGGCTAGCCGTTTGAAACGTCTCCACTAGAGGAGGCTGGCGATTGGAGGAAATCCTGATTGCTTTTGTGGCCCTAGATATTTTTGACTCAGATTTGACTCAACACATCAAAGAGAGATTTTTGAGAGTCATGTGTCAGCTGATTTGAGCCAAAGATTTTTTTGTAGAAAAATGAAAGCTTTGCTCCCCTGCCGGCCGCTCATTTTATGCGCTTTGCAATTTTGCGAGGTTCAATGCCAGCCGCGCACCCAGTGAACGATCCGATCAAACGTTGTTTGATGTCTTTTTGGGTTGTTTGCAATGTGCCACTATTGGTTTTGCAAGGCGTTCAGTGATCACCACTGTGGTCTGTTTTCAGCTGCATGGAATCTTTGCTGCTTTGTTTCTGTGGCTCATCAAATCACACCAATGATGAGCGACCCTTTTAATCCTTCATACTGTATGCTTCCTTGTGCCTCATCTCATGCAGCGAGTAGCATCCTGGATTAGATCGTCGGGGTAATTCTGGTCTGATTGATCCTATTCGATTCGATTGTTTCACTCGGGTGTTCAGCCAAACAATCCCAAAGACCCGTGTCACTCGCCTCCACCAGTGATGTGCCGGTCCCGAACACCCATGGCCCATTGGTCAAGGCCCGAAGAAGAGCTTCCGCGGTCTGGGGCTTCAGCCTCCTGATTGCAGTGCTCCTTGCCGGCCGCCAGCAGGCCATCGCTGCCATAGCTATCACGGGATCCGTACAGTTGGGACTGGACGAAACGCTTTCATTTTTGCTTTCGTTTTTACGTTGAGGTCAATTGTCCTTGAGACCTCTCAAGACTTCATAAGACTTCTAAGATTAGTGTTCTTTGCATGATGAATCATTTGGGGAGTGTTCATGAGTGTTCTAGTTTTGGCCCGATAACATCTTTCAGACCGTATGGCTTGCCTGCCTCGGCCTTGCAGGCTTTCCTAGCAACACAGCGAGGGAGGCGGCCCATGAGAGCTTGGAAGAAGTGCTTGGATGTTGGAACCACTAGATGTACTAGCAGCTAGCAAAACGGTCTTGCAGTCTGGGCACGTCATGCCTGAGGTGTCATTGCCTTTTTGTTTGGTTGATTTGTTGAACACACCACCAGAACATCGGCAAGCGTGTTCGCTCTTCCTGTTTTGTTTTCGAAGAGTTGTTGACCTCGTCCAGATCGCTGGCGCTGCGTGCAGCCGCAGATGAAGGAGACAGACGTACATCATCCGGAGCCTTCCAACAGAAACCCGTCGTCAATGACATTGATGGAGCACACACACCCGGAATTGGACTGGTTTGTAAGCTATAGATTATAGATGCCTGGCCCAGTGGGAGACCGGGAGGGTTGCTTCAAAAGGAACGTTGACAATTGGCTCCATCTAGCTGCATGTCCACGCATTGATAGTGATCATTGTTCCAAATATTCCATCAAGAAGGAGTTTAACCCCTGCCGATTCACGCAAATTCGTCCAAATTTTATTGATACAAACAGCATCAAACAGCATAGCTGACCCAAAAACGCTTCAGATGCTTTTCGGAACTCATTCCGTGTCGAGGAGTTCCGTCCGACGAGCCCCGCCGTCGTGACCCGATGTCCGGCGGGATCCAAGATGGGATGCGCAGCAAGCTGATGGAGGAGGCGGGGAGGCGGCGCGCGCGTCGGGCAGCTGTCGCTGACATCCATGGGTCAACCGCGTAGGATCGCATGTTTTTGCAGGTGCAAACATGCGGGATCCAGGGCACAGGAGACTTTTCTAAATAGCCTGGTGGAGCGCCTTAGAGGGTTTTGATGACTTGGAATCCAGAATACACCGCTTGTTAACTTCTGTAAATAGTGGAGAGGACGGCAGAGTTTTTGAAGCAAGAACAGCTTTTGCACAGCACGGCAGTTTCGAAGAGCTCTTGTTGTTGTTGTCGTGTTCGAGGGGCCTTTTTTCACGCTGCTCGAGTCTTGACGCTGCGCCGACTCATTTAATCACCCATCAAGTGGCCCAGTGGCCAGGCCAAATCTCTTGGTGATGAGGCAAGGACTTCCTGAGGCTTTTGACACACTCGGGTAGACGGCATGATCGGACGACGCCCGAGTTCAATAGATAGGTTTGGACATGTCTTCGATCCACACCCGATCCAGTCCGTCCATTCAATGCGCCGGAGGAGACTCCAATCTCTGCCGGTTTTGGCAATCCGCATCGGTCCCAGTTGTGGGGTGGGAGATTCCATGAAGGAACTCACTGACTGATCCTTCCAACCAAACCAGGTATTTACTGGCCATCATCGTGATCCTCATCCTGGGCGTCGCATCGTGCGCTTTTGGGGCTTGTCGCAGTTTTTGAGCGATCCATCATCAGTTCCCGGCATGAACATATGTCATATGTGAAAATAGCTCGGTGAACTCATGTAGGGGGATTGGAGCAGCTTAGCAGGTCGCCCAGCTGCTTGTTTCAATTTTCTCGAAGCCCAAGGTACTTCCAATTGGGCTTAGACAAGGTGGCGTCTGTGAAATCGACTGACGCGGGCGACAAGGACTGCGAAGCTGAACGCACGGCCGACGGTCTTTTTGCCAATTGAAAGCATCCAGTCTGCGAATTGTCAAAAGCGCTGAAGCGAAGAAGTCGTCGTTCATCGCCTCACACGTTTTTGGCTCAAGCGACAGTGGTCAAACAGCCGTGCCGGCGCGTGACATCTGGCGCTGGGTCGACTGGAGATCTAGGCTGGGAGATCCAGGGATCACTTTAAACCACACCAATCGACCAGCCTGACCAGACCTGATCTTGGATGTTTGCTGCGAGAGAGGCGTCTTAAAATGAACCGGACACAATCCCCTTTGACTCATAAGTGAACAAATTCTTTTCAAGTGCGCATGTCTTATCTCGAGTTTGCATGTGAACTGGAAACGCCCGTCTTCTGGACACGTCATTCTTCGTGCCATTTGTCGCTCAAGCGCCTCACGTCTTCGACGCCGGTGTGGCGCAGTCCGTGTGGGTTCGATGTGGTGCAGAAGCTGAGGAGAGTCCTCGCCGGAGGTGGGGGGGGACCAGAGTCCTCGCCCAAGCCACCTCTCATCCAACAACGAACCTGATTTCACGCTGCACGTTTTGACCTGGTTTCACGCTGCACGAGTTTCGTGCTTTCTGCGTCAGGTTGGTCGGATGAAGCAGGTCGGAGACGGAACCTGTTCAATGCCGAATGGATGGCAGGTCGTGAGTTGGATCCGAAGAAACTTTCACTGTGGAGCATGGGAAGATATGGGCAGGTTTTTGCTCCAGCACATTGATTTCCATTGCTGGAAAATCAGCTTTGGACAGGTATTGATGCAGGGTCAGCTTGAAAGTTTCATCCGGCAGCAGTCTATTTGTGTTTTGCTGTTTCCACAGGAACCATGTGCTGGGCCAGGTTGTACCATGCAGCTGGCTGGCGCAAGATTTCGCGCAGTTAGAGGAGCTTTGAGGAGAGCATCATGTTTTCTGCGCCTGTAGCTGCTACAGCCATCGGGTTGGCAAAATCTGCCGCCCTCGCTGGCGCAAACGCTTTGATGCTTGTGAGCGGGTTTTCAGGGCGAGAGGAGCAATGTGAGAGCGGGCGTTTGCAAGAGGTTGGCGGACATTGCGTTGGCGTTGCAGGCAGCAAGCTGGTGCTCAACGATTGCCACGGGAATGTGATGGGAGATCACGGCCGACAGCCAACTAAAGCAGGGACACATTTGTTTGGCAGTGTTTGGGTCTCGTGTTGGGGCCATAGATTGCGACGAGGCCAGTTCGCTAAAAGGAGACAAGTTCTTTCCAGTGGCGGTGCCGGCTCACGATCCACCAGCGGCGCCAGGAGTGCGCAGTTTGGGGGCGCTTCGTGCTAACGCGTGGCACGTTGACTGCGGCGTGCTGCCAAAGCTCTGGGATGGCAGGGGCGCACTGCGCAGCAGAGCGTGCTGGTCATGCAGGTCATATTGGGTTGCCGGAGTTGGACATCGTCAGTGGCCGGCACAGAGTTCTTTTCTTCTTTTCGCGCAGCTGGCTTGCCGGCAACTAGGGTATGACAATGACTATGGAATTGCTTCTTCAAGTTCTTGTGCTCAATACGGGCGCGTAAGCGTATGTGGCGCTGCCGGCTCGCCGGTTGCCGCCAAGAACTTGAATTGCACCGGGGGTGAGATGAGCAGGTTTCTTTTAAAAGAGTGTGACTTCCAAGCTGCAGACCAAGTGCTCCAGCCACGGCAGTGACACAGTGACGCAGGATGCTGCGCTTCGGGTGATGGGTGTGGGTGGGGCGCCTGGAGATGTTCTACGCAAACAGGCAAATGCATGGGCGCCAGTGTGCAACTGACAGGCCAGCAAACAAGGTGACCTTTGACTGTGATGAGATAGCCAAGATCAATGTGATTGACTACTTTATGCACAAACCCAAGTACCCCGAGTGAAGTACAACTTGCCGCGGCTTAGAAATGTCTCCTTTGAGCCCGTCCACGTTGGAGGTGGCAGCGAAGTGGAGAAATTGAAGACGACACCTCCAGGAGGTGACACGGACAGCGATGCCTGCTAACGCAGAGATCATGAGAGCCTACAGATGCCTACAGGGACAAAGACTTAAAGTCCCCTCAGCGACCTTGTAGGGCATCAGAGACATTTGCAACATGGCCAGAATTACGGTCGAACTTGGCCTTCTCCATCAGCACCTTAAGGAGCAGATTGAAGAACGTACGAAGTGTCTCAGCCCAAACGCGCCACAAAACATGCGCGCACAAGAAGTTTCAAACGGCTTGCAGCTCTACGGCTGACAGAAAAAGAAAGATTTGCTTCTTTTAATAAGCAACGTAGAAGAATATGAATGCGAAGATATCTGAGGTTCGAGGTGCTTTCTGCTGGCAACCAGACCAATGGGAAGGGGCCAAGTGTGAACGCATCGGCTTTGCAGTTGTCCAGAACCGTTCTTGATCAGGCATGGCCGCACAAGAGAAGGATGGGCAGAGCCGGCTCAAAAAGCTGCAAAAGGCGCGGGACAGTCAACATGTTTAAAAGTTGTCATGTCCACGTGAGATCACTGGAAAAACACCAGGACCGAACAGCTGCTCGCTTGATGTGTGACAAAAGCTGACGCATTTCTGGTGTGGAGGTCATCAAGGATGCATTTAGTTGTTTCGATAAGCAGCAGTTGCTTGGCTTGAATGGACGGGCGCTCGGACATTGACGGGGTTGGGGAAGCCGCAGGCTTGCTTTTTGTTTTGCAGTTTGTTGTCTGGATTCCTCCAGCGAAACATCGTCTTTCCAACGATATTTGCGTTCGGAAACTCGACGTTTTCACCTAAAGTGCTCGACAGTGTCGATGATGGGAAAAGCAATGCTTTTTGCAGAGCAGCAGGTTGGGTGGGGATGTGAGACGAAGTGTTTCGATCACCGGGAGATCCAAAGCCATGCACCGTTGTTCTCATCACACTTCTTCTTGTGCATCACACCGTGGGATTGGACGATGTTTGGCTCATTTGATGGTGGTTTGTTTCAGGGAATATTTGGAGAATGGGTTCTGGCTTGAGGAAGTGGTTGATCGAGCAGGATGAGGCAAGTTTTTCGGGCATTGTCAGGATCAACTGTCTACTTTCAATCTAAACCGAATCGCGGCCTAGCATCAGATTTTGTCTGAACTCCAGGCGGCTCCTGAGCAACTAGAGAAACAACTCCTTAGCAACTGGAGACTCTTGACAAGAACCTCGCTTTTGGAAGACATAATTCTTTGGAGGCCATCGCTAGTAGGTTGGAGGCATTTGGAGACCATCGGCCGGAGCGTCCCGGAGCGTCTGTTAGGTGGGTGTCGTGATGCGATACCTTGGTCAGTTTCCCAGCGAGTCCTGGCCTCAAGTCAGCATGGCAACCTTCCGCTAGATTGACAAAAGGAGATTTGAGACATTTTGAGACCAGGTATGGCATGGATTCTGAGTTCCTTTCGTGATCTAGCTCTCGAGTAGATTTCTTTCAGTCAAAGAAAAGCCAATCAGGAGTGGCGCAGACCTGGCTCACCAAGGGTTCTTTAGGCGTGAGGTTGGATCCCACGCCGCTTCTGATTTGGGGATCCCACATCCTTTGTGAGTGGGGTACGCAGGGTTGAATACAGTATGTTTGGCAGGGTCCATCCATAGTGCCATCCATCAGCGTCTCTTTCTTCGACACCTAATAAAATGGTGAATTGGGGATTGAACACGAGACCCTACTTTCACCAACTTGATGTTTCGTCCCACAGGGTGTGTCAGTGCCCTCTGTGAAGCAAGCACTAAAAGGAAACATGATACGAAATCTACAACACCTCCTGCCCGGAAGTCACATTCCCCAACCTGTTTTGGAAGGCTACAGTAGTATATGTTTGGGAAGGGTAGTTTCAGCGGTTTCACCTCATTTTCGGAGGAACTCCATGTAGCTGCTCCAGGGTACTTTGGAAAAGGTATGGGGGAGCTGAATGTTGCGCTAGCATTTTGTTGGCTATAGGTTTGGCGGCTAGGCAAATCCAGGTGCCAAGTGCAATGGCGGGATCAGGGAAGGACTCCTGCACCACTTGCCTCACCAACTGAGGCCTTCCCCATCAGCCTGAGCTACTTAGGTGGTGCGCAATTTCCCACTCAGCCCTGGGTCCGTGAGTGGCTCTTGTTCAAACCCGCTCTCTTCTCTCAGGGTCGGTGATTCCTTTTTTGAGGTCCGACCTGAAGGAGACGATCATCCCTGAACTTCTGGAAGAGGATCCATCGTCGCTGCCTCTACTGGGGTGGTGGACGTCTGATGGAACTCACTCACTGGGCATGCTTTTTCTATGAACAAACAGCCAATCGAAGGTTGTTCCTTTGTTTGAAGGGGTCAAGTGAGCTGTTGGCTATTCATCCTCAACAGCTTCAATTTTGATTTGACCATGTGGGTCGCTGCACTGACGATGCCCTGAGGAAAGATGGAATGATTTCCTTCGAAGCCTTTGAACGACTGATGCTGAGGCATGAAACGATGGGAATGCGACACTCAGAGTTCAGAGGTCGTATGGCCAGGTAGATAGGTACCTTGGCTCTTGACCGTACATATTAAATAGGCCTTGCCCGTAAGATCGTATCGGCGAGAGGTTCTGAAGCCACATATCATATGACCCATACCCTATGCATTTCATGCGGTCCTTGATCAAGTGGGATGCCTCCATTTTTCAAAAAGGGGATTTAACACATTTAAAACCCACTTGCAGTACTGGCGGAGCAAATAGCAAATCTCACATGACCTGAAAAGGATCTCCAGCGACCTTGAGACCTTGGGACGACCTGGGCAATCCAAGACCAAGACCGCTCCGCCCGGGCCGTCTCCGTCGTCAGGTGTTTGAGTGATCACACCTACGATCCCGACGACTCCGAGACGCTCTTGGCCGCCTTCCGGGCGACTCTGAGAGAAGACGGAAGGAAGGGGTGCTGAAGTAGACTGATTCGTTGGCTGAAGCAGTAAAGTCAATGATAATGTACGATCTATAGCTTGTTCTTTTGTGTGCTTTTTGGTTGGGTCTTTGGACACCCTTGAGGCTTTCTTAGTTCAACATTAATCAGAGCAACAGCTCATCTCAACACTTCAGCTTGCACCCAGGATTTGAGATTTTAGTGGATTTCGATGGCGGTTGCTGCTTCAGGTGCTAGATCCACAAGGCCATGGCTACATTGACTCCAACTTGATGCACGAGTGGTTGTCCACGAAGGGAGGTAAGGCCAGGCAACCTGCGGCAGATTCTGCCAAGTCCAAGCCAGATTGGAGCGTTCATGAGGCCAGTGACTTCTTCAAAGAAAGAGAAACTTCCGATTTCTTGGAGTGCCCCAGTTTTGAATTGAAGGAAGTGAAGAAATCTACCGCCTAGGGTTGGTCAACCGTTGCCTCACTTGGCCCCTAGGGGAAGCATTCCCTTACGGAACTCCAGGTATGCGAAAGACAAGGATAGCTCTGATTCAAGTCGCATCTACTACGAGGCGCGCGCCAGGGCTGGGAGAACTCTCCGGATGGTAGTCAGATAGGCTCTGTGCCTCGCTTTGCCATGCTCTCTCCCTCTAAATAAAAGGCTTTTAGAGTTTTACGGCTCAAATCCTCAGAGTTGCTGTGAGATCAAGATGGATCGAATAAGAGAGCTCGACAACAGCTAATTTTGTTCAGATGCAGTTGTTGCTTCAGTTCCGGGCTTCGTGCGCCCTGGTATGGAGTATGGACATCCTGTTCCCCATGGTAGAACACATTTTGCAAACTTGTAATTCAACAAAAACAAAAAATATCCAGGATGATTGAACAGCGGACACTGTACCCCCTCCCCTCTTAACCCCGGCCCCACTGTTGAAACCTATGTTCAGGCACTACTAAGGCCTTAGCAGGCTTCAAATCTCAGTTTCTAATCGCTAGGCACTCAACATCCAAAAGTGCATGCATTGAACTCTTGCTAAGATCTCGTTTTCCTTTCGGTCTTGTACTGAGACCTCGGTCCTGCTTCAGTCTATTTATTAAGATCTCGATTGTTGGTGATCTCTGGCTGGATGCTTCGCAAAGTGGCCAGCGTGCATTTTGTGAAACGGCACGTTGTCGATTCTCGCTCTGGCTAGCCAGAGCCCTTACCGAGGCCTTACTAAGGCCTTAACAAGGCCTTTAGAAACAGTTGTTTTCTTGGTTGGTTTGATTTTTGTTTTTTTTGTTTTCTGTCTTCATAAATTTGGCTCGGTTCTTTGTCAGCGCCACATGGCTGCATCCAAGCTCAGCTCCAAATACAATCGCAATTCATCAAGAACATTGGTCCAACTACACCTTCAAACCTCAATTGCTTTCAATACTGCTTTCGGCAGGGGAGGGGGTCCGATATCCAGTCTGACACCACGTTGGAATAGAGCAGTAAACTTCTTAGCTTGGGATCTCCACACTGGGGATTTCCAAGCGCTGACCGAGGACTATGTGGCCAAGCTCAATGCGGACATTGAAAAGCACCTGGAAAATCTCTACCAGGAGGGTTGGGAAGTGTACGCAAGTGGGGGGCTTACTGGTTTACTTGTTGAATAGATAAGTTCGCCACTTCAAATTGCGAATGCTTCGGGGTCACTGGGCATTCTGTCCTCTTCAAGCTTCGAAGAAAGCAGAGCAAACATCCATCAAACTATCAATGAAAGCCGCGACAGACGGATTGGGATGAGGCCTTCTTTTTCTTCTTCCAGTCCCCAACGGATGTAGGTCATTACTAGGCCAATGGAGCAAGTGGAGCCGTGTGGCGCATGCACTCCAGTTGACTCCGGTGGACACGATCCTGTTCCACTAGAGAACCATCGAAGCCTAGAGAACCAGTCGCACTACTGTAGTAGATCAAATACGATCAAACGGGTTTGACACTTTCAGGAGTTTTCGACGTTTCTAAACGGTCTGACCGCAGCAAGTTTCGCAGCGCTTGGGGCGGCGGATCCCCTTTTCAGGCCAAAACACCCGAAGCATTCCGAGGTGTCCACGGATTCTTTCGTTCATTTCTTCCGCATCCAGGAAGTTCCACCTGAAATGTTCCACCCGTGACAAAACCCATAACAACGCATGCGTCGACGCCTGGCTTTCAGGCGGCTCGAGGAACCGGAGCCCGCGGGAGGCTGAGAGAGAGAGGGAGCCCACTAGTGATGGCCTCCAACCCAAGAGAGAGAGAGAGAGAGAGAGAGAGAGAAAGAAAGAAAGAAAGAAAGAAAGAAAGAAAGAAAGAAAGAAAGA